TCGAGTCAAGTCGAGTCGACTTCACCATCTCCGTCTTCCCGGACTCCAGCTAGCTGTTCGCCACCGCGAAGCTACGTCTGATACCCGGCCTTCTGCTCGCCTTCATCGCCTCCGTGTTCTTCGCCTTCATCATCGCCTTCGTCCCCGTCCCCGTTTACCCCGATTTTGCTGTGTATTCATAAAAGGGTACCCCACCGGGACCCTTGAATAAATCGTCCCAAAGTTCCCCGTCTTTTGCTCTCCCGGCTATCGAGTGCGCAAATTATTGTCACTGTCGTGACACCATCCCCTCCAATTCCTTAAAGAATCTCTGCTAGCCTGCCCCCTCCATCCCCTCCAATTCCTCAAAGAATCTCTGCTAGCCTGCCCCCTCCATCCCCTCCAATTCTTCAAAGAATCTCTGCTAGCCTGCCCCTTCCATCCCCTCCAATTCCTCAAAGAATCTCTGTTAGCCTGCCCCTCCATCCCCTCCAATTCCTCAAAGAATCTCTGCTAGCCTGCCCCCTCCATCCCCTCCAATTCCTCAAAGAATCTCTGCTAGCCTGCCCCCTCCATCCCCTCCAATTCCTCAAAGAATCTCTGCTAGCCTGCCCCTCCATCCCCTCCAATTCCTCAAAGAATCTCTGCTAGCCTTCCCCCCTCCATCCCCTCCAATTCCTCAAAGAATCTCTGCTAGCCTGCCCCCTCCATCCCCTCCAATTCCTCAAAGAATCTCTGCTAGCCTGCCCCCTCCATCCCCTCCAATTCCTCAAAGAATCTCTGCTCCGCAAAAAACCTCTGCTCGTTTGCCCCAGATTCGCTCTAAATTCTTCCCATCACGCGGCAATTTCAATGCTTCTATGTCTAGCAATGCTAGTCAAAACATAGACGACCTCCTAAAAATGTAATCCATTTTTTTGTGCCGCCCATCGGTCTGTCCCTTCAGATGTGCTGTAAATAGCCAGAATGTGTCATCAATTGAGGGCTGATCGGATGGCCGGACCGGGGGGATGTTTCAGTCTGGGTCGTTCAGAAAGAATTCCCAACAAAAATCACGTGCCAACAACTGGGGGGAATGGACCGGGGGGAATGGCTTGTCTCCCGGGTCAATCTTCTTTCCGAATCTTTCGAATGACCGGTGCGGCGGGACTCTTTTTATAAAATGTCCCGTTTTCGTTGTTATTTTTAATGATTTTGTTTTTATAAAGATAAAGACAGATTCTATAAAGATAAATAAATATAAAGATTTTTTTCCTTTACAGTAATACGAAAGTTAAACTCTGTCCAGTTTATCGATATTTTCCGAATCTTTACAAAGGCCGCGTAGCGTTAAAAATTCTTTGTTTTTCGTTGTTGCCTTGATGGTTCTCATTTGTCTTGTTAGGTTTATTTAAATACTTATATCTCTTGATAGTAATGTTCAATCCTTGTAGATCTTATGAGTAATTTTCCGTAAACTACACGCTCCTATTTACGCGAACCTCCCGGTGAATTTCTGGAGTTACAGAGCGCCTAATTAAAGCTTTTGCACTTTCAAAACCTGTTTTTAGAATTATAAATGTCTAGTACGCCATGTTACCAATTGCGAACTATTAATGCATAAAGTAAACTTGGCTTTATTATTTACAAAGTTTGCTTCATTCTACGGCGCTGAACTTTTGAGCTAAAGAGCCTTTTATTAAAACGTATTTTGACGTAGCGTAATGCCCAAAATCAAACTAAAGCCGCAAAATACCAACATTTAGTTACTTTATTAATGTGTTTTGCACGATTTCTAAACGTATTCGCTGCCCTAATCCGACTTTTCCACGCCTCTTCCATTTCCTGATGGACGTTTTCCGTTGTTTTTGTTATAGTAAAGGGCAAGTTGGGCGGTTGGCAGAATCCAAAACGGCATCCGGAAAACAAAAAATATATATTCGGAAGATCGGGCAAATCCTCGATTCTAGAAATTCTGGAAGAACTTTGCAGTCGAAAAAAATATGGGGGTTTGCACGAAAAACAGGCCGCGTCTTTTCACTTTTTGCAAGTTAAGTAAAGTCAATACTAGATTAAGTTTCAAAAAGCATTGAAAAGGCTTGAAAAGGCTTTGGAAAATCATGAATTTTAAGGCTGCATCCAATTTCTAACGTTTAAAAACTACCTTTTTTACGGTTCCAAACTTTTTTACGAAGGTTTTGGGTCGAAGAACGTTGAAAAGATAGTTCGACCAAGAGAGTTTGTAGTGTTTAAAATAATTTTCCAAGGTGGTTTAAATAATTTCAACCCAAATTCGAACGACTTATAAGCTTTCGAAGCTTTTTTTGTTATTCTAAACTTAAAACCCTACCCGATTCAACCTCGATTTATGTATTTTTTTATCAAAATTTGTAAAGTTTTTACGCTAAAGAATAGTAAAAAATGGTTTAGGAACACCGCTCTAGTTATATTAGAAAAATAGGAAAAATAGAAAATAGTTGCCCCCCCGATAAAACGAAAGAACCGCCGCGGCTTTCCCCCTTTTTACCCCCATCCATTTTCTATGAATTTATAGTGCCCGAGAAATGCGTGAGATACGTCAACCCCTAGCGAGTAGCATCTTTGCACTTTCCACGAGGTCTCCGGCCGGGTCGAAAGGGCCCCGGTCCCGTCCCTGGGCCCTAACTGGGTCCCATGGAATTCGTTTCCGGCTCGGCGGTTCCTTTTCTAGCTTTGCCCTCCAGTTGTGCCATGGGTCGTGGCATGGACAAGATTGGGCTCGGCGTGAATATATTCAACACCGGCCCGGGGCACTATGGCAGCTCCTTCTTGGCGGTTTCTTCTTTTATTCCCCCCGTTGTTGAGCATCATTTATTCAGCGCCGGAAAAACTGGGCATGTTTGTTGGGTGGAAGTTCATGTTCTAGGGCTTTTTTTGTTTAAAAGGTGCACTTTCTGCTTTGAAATCCGGTGCTAATGCACTTGGGGGGGGATCTGGATTTTGACTACGAGACGCTCCAAATGCCGTTTTTTAAACTCGAAGCTTCTGGAAAAGTTAAGCTATGCCTAAGCCTAGGCTTAGCTTCGTACAAACGAAGCCTCAGCTTAGCTTGAGCCAAGATAAGCTTAGTTCCAAGCTAACCCATAAATGACCCCATTTTGACCTAGTAAGTCAATTTGAAGTTCAAGATAAGCTTAGCTTGGGCTTAGGATTAAGCCTAAGCCTAAGCTAGGCTTAGTTAAAGCTAAGATAAGCCTAGGCTTAGGTGAAAACCAAGTAGCTTGAGCGGAGCGCCTCGTAACCCCTTACTACCAATTTTGGACTGCCCCCCCCCTAACTGCATTAGCACCTGAAATCCTTTGAAAATGTAATTTATGCCAGCTAAGTACTTTTTTGCCGGTTTTCAGACCCCTTCCCTTCGTTCCTGAAGTTTTTACAACCATTACTGGTTTCCGTTTTCTGGGTTCTCCGCTGAAAACACTTTAATGTTGTATTTTTGCTATCGTAAAACGTTTCAGAGTTGATAAAAGCTCTTGTTATTTTCATTTTTGGATATTCTCCTATGGAAACACTTTAGTTTTGTATTTTTTATATTTTAAAACGTTTCAAAGCGGAGAAAAACTTATATTAGCTTCATTTTTAAATTTTCGTATATCAAACTATCTTATTTATCTAGTTTTAGCGTTTTCAAACATTTTAGACATGGAGAAGCTTCTGCCTTTCTTTATTCGCATTTTCCGAACCTTTATAGTTTTCAATTGTGCGTGTTTTTTGTGAAAATCTTGTTAATTCCGAAATTTTCACGATCCAATACCCTTCAAAATTTTAAATGGAATTTTATAAATTTAATAATAGTAGCAACAACCTTAGAAGAATAACAATATAGTCTGCCTCTTTTGTTTGACCCTATATTTTTCCGATTTGCAAGATTTCAACCTAGGAGCTTGACCTTTAAAGCTTCTAAAAATCATCACGATTCCCTGAATCACAATTTTGCACGGCGTTCGCCTAAATTTCACAACGGTCTGTGCTATGATCCCCGCGTTATCGTTTTTCGATCGGTTTTCGATATCTGATATTCCCCTGGGCGGCACCTGCAACAAGCTGACCAAAAGCCTTGACCGCTGTATCAAGGCTCCTTTCCGCCGATAAGCCCTAAAAATAACCCAGAACCACTTTGCCGAGTTTTTTACCGAGTTTAACTGCTTCCATATGTTGGTGTTGACGCGTGCCTCGAAAACTCAGTGGCTTCTTCCCTGTTTTTCGCGCGGGGGAATTCCCTGCCGGACTATTTCCGGGCTGGCAATGAACTTCTTCTTTTCTCGGCTGGCGGGAACACCCGCGCATGCCGCTCAAATTTCCTGCCAAATGGGTGGCCAGACGCCGGCAACCGAATACCGTTGTTGTTCTCATTCTGATTTGCGAAATTTTGCGGCTTTTTTGGGTTGGTTCCGGCTTCGGGTTGTGTCTGGAAGCTTTATTCTGCTTTTTCTAGTTGTTAGACTCGTCAGAAATCGGTTTTTTTTTCTCTAAATCTTTGTTTTTTTTTCATAATTTCTTCAGGAAATTGCTTTTTTACAACCCGAAATAAGAAAAGAACTCGTCTAGTTCTTTTGATTTGATATTTCTTGCGGAATTCGGGGTGTTCGGCTCAAAATCTTTGTTTTTTTTCATAAACTGTTCAGAAAATTCCTCTTTTTACAAATCAAGATCAAAAGAACTGGTCAAACCTCTGGCTATTTCTGGAAAACTATTTTTTCGATTGGTCCAACTCTAAAAAAATTCCTTTGAAAACGTAGCTTTTTCTTGAGAAAAAAGGATCATAAACGTTTCTGCTACCCTGTTTTCTTCCGAATCGGTCTTTGTCTCTTTGGTGCCTTGTTTGAACTTTGATAAAAAAGCTACAGCCTCTTTTCTCAGCTTCTCTTTTTGATTGTGCTGCTTTTTTGTTTACAGTTTTATTCTCCCAATTAGTGATACCTGTGTGCTGCAAGGTTTTCCGTGTTTTCTTTTCTAAATCGTCAATTTTTACTTTTTAAAATTCTCTTTTTCAGGCGCACGTCATGAACGTGTATCAGCGGCTGTCGCCGAAACAGGTCACGTCGCTGGCACCGGACGACTGCTTCAAAAGTTTGTTTTTCAATTTGATTCATATTGTGGCTAAATTCGGGCTTTATAAAAGCTGTGCGAACCGCGAGAAACAAAAATAAATAACTGTTTAAACATTTTTGATCGAATTTGATACTTTTTAAACACGGTGTAACTTGCTTGCTAGCTTCCTTTCCTAGCTGAGAGATTGTGGTTCAAAAATAATAGTATAAAATCATTTAATTTTTCAAGTGTTTTGTTTATTCCCCTTTTTAGCACCCAGCCGTTCCGATGGGCTGACAGCGTCTCCACTGGCCGAGGGCTCACCGCGTAGAAGGCATTTCTCGGGTCAGTTTATGATTTACTAGTTTATATTTCGCTTCAGGCAGCACCCCTCGCCCTCCCTCAATCTTCAACGGCATCCGGAACCTTGTGCAGCGCCAGCGCAGCGAAAGCCTCAACATTCAGGCCCTCAAGAAGCCGTTGCGGAAGGTGCAGGTCGGATTCACTCTTGAAACGAATTTATCGATTTGTTTAGATCGCCGGTTGCAAGCTCGACTCGGTGTACGACTTGCGCGAGGACCACGATGAGGACGCGGAGACGTCGGATCTCTACGATGATGACCGGGCTTTTCGGCGGCCACGCAGCAATAGCTCGGTAACGGTTTTGGTGCTGGACTGTTAGCGCGGGGAGGGGGGATCACCTTGGCCTATCGTCTATACACATAACGGCGTATTATGTCGTTTTTAAATATAGAAAATTCTTAGAAAATCGTTTGCTTGAAAATTGATAGAAAATTAAAACTAAACTTAAGTCGAGTAGCGACATAGGAAGTATTTTATCCGTGTTTCTAGTACAATGTATCCATTTTAACTACAAAAACGATCGCCGAAAATTACAATTTCACAACCGATTTTACAAAAAAAATTGTCAGTTTTGGCCAAAACTGCCATTTTTCGCCGAAAAATCGATATTTATGGGGTTGTTTTTAATAAAAATGTGCATGGTTTTTACGTTTAGGGCTAGTAAAAATAGTTTAGAAACACTTCCGCTATTTATATTTGAAAAATTGGTCCCTAAGAAAAAAAGGTGGTTCCCGCCCCCGCAGACATTCGTGTATCGAGTTGCTATCGATTTTTCAGTAAATCTGTTTTTCAGGATTTCCTGATCTTGCGCAAAACGTCTCGACCGTTGAGCGTCGATGTCGTGGGGCTTGTTGGTGAGTTTCACCTTCGTTCTATAGTGTTTATTTCTCGAATTTAGACACGATGCACGACCCCTACCGCCAATACATGAAGGTCGTCGACTGCTACGAGCTGGCCCCGCACAAGAATGAGGTGATCATCGTCGACACGCAATTATCTGTAAGTTTATATAGATTTTTCGCTTTTTATCGTTTTTTTTTGTCATGTTTTTATCATCTAAATGAAGTTTTTTAGGTGATCAAAGCCTTCGAGGCGATGTGCGACAACCAAGTGGGCGCGATTTTGGTGTGGGACCGGGAGAAGGGAGCGGTAAGGCAAATTTTAAATTCATGAATATTTTCTGTAGTTGACCTCAATCGTGACGCTCAGCGACTTTTTGCACCACGTCCAGCGCGCTGACGCCGTCGGCGCCATGGACTCGCCGGTGGCGACGATCTTGTCGGGCAACCAGCTCGTGGCCCTCAATTCGGACACCAAGGTGAGGTTTTAAAAAAAGATTAAATTTGTGTTTTAGATATTCAACGCCTGCGAGGAGTTCACGGCCAACAAGGTGCATCGGCTCGTCATCTGCGACCCGCAGACGGGAGACGTTCACTACCTGCTGACGATCAAGCGTGTCCTGCAGGCTATACATAGACAGGTAAATCGAGTTTTGGTTCTTTGGCAATATCGGGGGGAGGGGCAAATTTTTAAAAAAGTGCTTGAAAATTGGGAATTTTTGCGAAAAAATGCCAAAACACCGAATTTTAGGCATTTTGCCAAGTTTTAAAAGGGTTCTCTACTGGAAATTTGCTAAATTTTGTAATACCACTACGATCGAAATAGTTGCTATGATATTACAGGCGGTTCTCGCGTTATAGGAAAAAGCCAGCCCCCCGATATTGCATAAGCACCCGAATTTAATAAGTTTCTTTTAGTTTGAACAAAGAAAAACATTTATTTTTTTCAGAACCGCTCGCTGCCCTTCGCCCAATGGCTCGGCTACCCGATCAAGGAGACGGGCATCGGCGAGTGGAGCAACGACATTCACAAGGTGTGTTATAGCGCCAATTTTCATACCATTTCGTGTTTCAGGTCTCGATGGACGACGATCTGTCAAAGGCCGTGGAGATGCTGCTCGGCTTCCGCGTCTCCTCGTTGCCGGTCGTCGACAAGGACGGCGTGGCTGTCGACGTGCTGCACAAGGCCGACATTGCCATGAGCATCTACGGCCAAGAGGATCCGAAGGTATGGTGTTTATCTAAAATGCCAAAAATATTGTTTGAGAGCTTCATCTCCGGCTCGACCGTCAAGGAGATACTGCCACCCCGCCCGCAGCCGTTCTTCGCCCAGGAGACGACGCGTGTGTCTGAGGTTGATCGATGATTTTGATTCTGATCTTTTTCATTTAGTGCCTCGACAACATGCTCAACTGCCGGCACACCCGCTGTCTGTTCATCGTCAACGAGCGCGGCGAGCCGACGGCGTGCGTCTCGCTGTCCGACTTCCTCACCCACATGCTCTACTCGGGAAAGCCTTTTGAGGTGCGTTTGGGGCTTACATGGTGCTTTTAACAGGGTTCTTTTCTCACTTTTTTTTGTATTCGAAAATCTAGTTTTCGATCCCGAAAAGTTTACGAAAATCGTGTTTAATGCGCTGTAGTCTGTAGTTTGAAGCTAAAGGCCTTACTATCCAATGATACAGCTCGCGCAGCAAATCTCAAATTTTTTCCACGTTTTTAGTCCTAAAAATCAACTGAAAATCGATTAATCCTTTGCGCCTTTTTTAGCGTGCTGTGGTTTTGTATTTTGGAGTCAAAAATTGATTCTGGAAATCTACTGCGCGCACAGCAAATTTCAAGTTTTTACCGGTTTTCTTTAATTTCGAAGGCTCCATAAATGGATAAAAGATAACTTTTCTAATTTAGGAACTCAAAGGGACCCGTTTTCAATTTTTTCTGAATTTTTTAGATTGCTCTAGTCTGTAGTTTGAATCGAAAAACATTTCAACATATTTTTTGCAGTCGTAGACCTTCTGAAAATGGATAAAAAATGAAGTTTCTAGATTCAGGACTTTTTAGCTTTTTAGCCAATTTATCTCGATGTAGCTTGTACTTGGATTTAACGATCTTATTTCGAAAATCCACCGATCATAGCACTTTTATTAAAAAATGTGTCGCTCACCGTTTTTACTTGATTTTTAAAAAAGCATGATGCTAGAAATCGTTTACTCATCTTTCATTTTCAGAACTCGAAGTCGTTCTCCGCGCAGCGCTCCGCCGAAATCGACATCGAGGCCGCCCGCCCGTCCATCTAGGCTCAACCCCAAAAAACCGAACAAACACACACATTTCTCGGGTCAACGGAATTTTGCAACAATAAAATTTGTGGCCTTATTTCCTTTTCCTCCTTTCCTTCCCACCTTTCCCCCTCTCTCTTCTCCCATTCTCAGGGCTCTCGCGCATGACACATTAGCACTTCCCCTTTTTTGTTTTGTAAAATTCCCCAATTTTTCTAGAATGTGCCAAAGTTTCACTGCCCCCACCCACTTTCTACCCCCCCTTTCTATTCCCCGGCCGACTTAATGTACATAAATTCCCCCTCTTCCCCCCCACATCATATCGTTGTTTTCTCCTCGTTGTCTTTGTAGTAATGTTATAAATGCCCAGCGCAAAATTTTACTGTTTCCCCCTCCCCGTAATTTCCGAGTATACCCTGGTGTCGTTGGTTGCTTTAGTAAGTTGCTGTTCGTTTACTTCTTTTTTTTTCTTGGCTGTTGAGAGAATCCGGTCTTTTATCGATGGGTGACGGTGATGATAAAGCGTTTTTACCGGTCTTACTTACAACAAGTGACAATGAACTTTTGCGAACAAGCCCGAAGGCTTTTTAGGTACGGTTCAGGCATGTTCTAGCCAAGCCCACTTACATGCCACGCGTTGACGTCAAGCGCAGCGGCGTCTTGCGTAGCGTACGTGATTCGACGAGGCCAACGAGCAGAGGTCACGCAAAAAACAATGTTTTTTTGGCGGTTAGAGCAAACTTTTAGGGTTTAATTGCGCCTATCGCTAAATTAGCAAATTTTAATGTGTTTTTTGTAACATAATGGCTGGCTGAAGACAATCCAGCAGAGATCGTTTGAGAATCATCGCAAAGAGCTGGCGTGCCTATAACTCTAGGCTTCTCGACCTAGAAACAAGGCAATCTAGCAAAAATCGCTTAGGAATGGGCCGAAAAGACCTGAGCGCTTGCAATTCCAGCTAGAAAACCTAAAATAAAGGCAATCCAGCAGGGGCCATTCGGTAATTGATCAGGATAGCTCGAATCCACGCTTTTTTCGCGGACTATTTCAAAACTTTGCCTCCACAAAGGGGGTAATCTGGCACAAATCGTTTGGAAATCGGCCAAAAAAAGGTAAAACTACGCTCTCTGCTGCTTTGCGCACTTGTAGTATGACAACCCCGCCATTTCGTAGTCTACTCTGTTATCAATCAGCCGTTCAAGGAAAATGATAGAGGGATATTTTCTCGCTCTGGAAAACCCCGCGTCTTCGAGTTTTTAGCTATATTTTGACGTCGTTTTAGGTCTAAAGCTACACCTAGCTGTAATCTATCTAAAAAAACGTCAGTAGACGGATTTTTCAGCTCGAAAATGTACACCTACAACACGCTCAAGGTCGACAAGGGCGACGATTTCGTGGTGCATGTCCAGCTGAACCGGGCGAGCCGGCTGAACGCGATGAATTTTGAGTTGTGGCGGTAGGGAAATAAGTGTACAAATTGCGTGTAGAAACTAAGAATCAATGTAAAAATTCCCAATTAAATCTGGATAACAACCCGCCAAAATTTAGCGAAATCGGGGATTGCTTCGAGAAACTAGCCGTCGACCCGGATTGCCGCGCCGTCGTTTTGAGCGGAAACGGAAAAGCCTTTTCGGTGGGCTTGGATTTGAAAGGTAAGTTAGTTTTCGGCGTAATGTACGTTTTTTTTCAGAAAACGACGTCATCACCGGATTGAGCGATGATTCGGCCGATGACCAGGCTCGCCGCTCGTTTTTGTTGGGACGAAAAATTCGATTTTTGCAGCAGTGCTTCACAAATATCAACCAGGTGCGGATAACGTTTTTGGCAGCTATTTCAGAAATCACTCTTATTGGTGCTTACCACGATTAAATTGAGTTTTTGGAAAAGAGTGTATGACTTGTGCAATAAAAATACCGAAAGCGAGCAAAAATCCGGAATTTCGTAACTTTTGTCGGGGTGTTTTTGAGAGCATTCGATAGATATGCATCGGAGAAAAGAGAGAAGACCCAGTAGAACCTTCCATTCTTTAGTGCCCAAAACCGGTGATCGTGGCGACGCATGGCTATTGTCTGGGTGGAGGCGTGGACCTGATCACCGCCTGCGACATTCGGCTAGCGAGCAAGGAGACCGTTTTCGGGATCAAGGTAAGTACGCCCGAAAGGACCTGTTAAAAACCATCAAAAAAAATTAGGAAGTCGACGTCGGAATCGTGGCAGACGTCGGGACATTGAATCGGATCGGGAAAGTTTGCGGGAATGACGTAGGTCAGCCGCACTTTTCGATTCCTCTGGTCTGGAAATGTGCACGGGATCCCGCGATTTACCCGCGGGACGTCGCACGTTTTACCCGCGGGATCCCGTGCGATCCCCTGCGCAATATGCGGGATTCCGCGGGATCCCACGGGATCCCGTGCGCAACATGCGGGATTCCGCGGGACCCCACGGGATCCCGCGCGCAGAACAGGGGATCCCGTGTGTAAATGTAGGGATTCGATGGGATCGCGTTGGTTTGTTTTATTTTTAATTAGCTTGTATTCCAGCTCTTTCCTATTTGATTTAGGTTCTTTACGCTATGTACTTGTAAAACAAGCTTGAAGATATATAAAATTACTTTATTGCTGCAAAAAATCCCATGAAAAAAGAGGCAGAAAAAAGAAGCATAATACATACACAAAAGCTTTAGGATACGGTTGGTTCACAATAAAAATGATAAGTTGCATAATAAAGGAAAAAGCAAAAGGAAAAGCTTTGAAGTTTTCGTAGTGGCCGAGCAGGATCGTAGAGACGCCCAGTAGCTTAAGGTTCATAGAATTAGAATTCAAATGATTACTAGCGTTGTGTCGACGAAAATCCAAATCATCTATTCCATCATTTGCGTTCACCCACCTGGAAGTCATTGGTCCTTGATCGCAGAAGCATGCTAAACCAGATAATTAACTCAGAATCCAAAATCAAAAAAAAAGAAGCAATCAATCTCATGCGTCCGCCAAAAGCAGATCATTGAAGGAAATCCACATACCTGGTGACCTCCTGATGCCGTCGGCGTCCGTACATAGATATTTTGTTTTAACTTCTAGCATCTAAACATAGCGTTAAAAATAAAAAAAAAATAATAAGAATGCTTTCGATCGATCGTGCTTGGAGATTTCGTGTACAAACTACAACCGCGCGCACGGGATCCCGTCAGCTGCGCGGGGGATCCCGCGGGATCCCGCGCCCAAATCACGGGATCCCCTGCGCAAATTCGGCGCGCGGGATCCCGTGCGCAAAACGCGGGATTACGCGGGATTTCAGGCGATCCCGTGCACAAACGTGGGATTTTACGGGATCCCGTGCACATTTCTAGACCAGAGTCCCGCGTTTCAGAGCTGGATCCGTGACATTGCATTCACCGGCAGAAATTTTGGGGCCGAAGAGGCGCAGCGAAATTGTAATTTTGAAAACATTAAATCTCAATTTTTTTTTTAGTATTGTTGAGTGGGGTGTACAGCTCGAAAGATGAGACCTTGGCTGAGGTGAGGAATCCGCTTTAGTTCGCCTTATTAATTAGACGAAATTAAAGTTAAATCTAAGTTTCGGAAAGAAAAAAGAAAATCTTTCACGATAAGAGCATTTTAGGCGTTAAAACTAGCAAAGACCATTGCGGAAAAGAGCCCGGTGGCCGTGCAGGGGACGAAAATCAACCTCAACTACAGCCGCGAGCACACGACGGCCGACTCGTTGGAGTATGTGGTAAGTTGGGCGTTACGAGAAGTTGTCAAAACCACGGAAATAATATCGAAATGGCATAGAATCAAATGAAAAATAAAATAAATGAAACAGCGATCATCCCAACGTCAGCTCTGTTTTAAGGCAACCTGGAACCAGTCGCAGCTCTTCACCGACGACGTCGCCAAGAGCGCCATGGCCATATTGACGAAATCGAAGGTGCCCAAGTTTTCAAAGTTGTAACTTCATTTTTTTAAGTGAATAAATGTATTAAAAGTTTATATTAACGCAGTAAAAAAGCGCAAAATTCAAATTTCCATATTCCACAATCGAGATACGTCCTAAATATTTAAAAACGCCATTTTCATTTTGATGAGACACTTTTTTATAAAAAACGTGACAAAAACAAAAATACAAAACAATTTCCGAAAAATTTTGGTGATTTGGCATGAAAAGACGGCGGTTGGAAATGAATCACGTATTCCGCGTGCGACAGTTATTATGACGGGACTAGTTTCCGGAAATTTAATTCGGCTGTCGTCTCGTTTTCTCTGTTTCTCTATCTCTCGCTCTCTCTCTCTCCCTCTCCCACTTCAGCTGCAAAATTGATAGCTTTAGATGCCAATTAGGGACTTTTTACGGGTTCTATTTGATAATTGGCAGCTTGTCAATCGAGA